TTCCATTCCGGATATATGTATTTGCACATATGTAAATAATAAGATGTTACAGAGATGAGACTCAATTTATATTTTGTACTAGTTTGGAGACCCAGCAATGCCCAGGTTATTTGAAAAAGACATTTTTAAAAGAAAATTCATAAAATTGTGGGTTAACTACAACTCGCATCATGTTAGGTTAACTCCCTCATTCTCCATCAATACTTAAAATTAGTCATGTTGGGCACATGTGGCAAGTTTGCCCTAGATGCGTCATCAGTGGGGTTCAGTGTGCTCCCTGGCTGCAGGATGAACTACAACCCCCACCATGGTAGATCACTCCCCTCAAACCCCTCCATTAGGTTCAGTTGGTTATGGTAGTTCTGTGTGCCAAGTTTGATCCAGGTCCAACATCGGTGGGGAGTCACAGTTTCTCTGGATGTAGGTGAACTACAACTCCCAAAATTCAAGGTCAATCCCTCCTAAACCTTTCCAGTATTCAATTTTAGCCATATCAGGTATCCATGACAGGTTTGGTTCAGGTCCATCATCATTTGGGTTCACAGTGCTCTCTGGGTGAAGGTGAACTACAACTCCCCAAAATCAAGGTGAATTCCCCCCAAAGACCTCCAGTATTTTTTGTTGGCCATGAGGGTTATGTGTGCCAACTAGAGTCCAGGTCCATTGTTGTTAGAATTCAGAGTGCTCTTTGATTGCAGGTGAACTATAAATCCTGGTATCTAAAACTTCCAAATATCAAGGTCAATTACCCTCAAACCTGCAGTATTCAAATATGGGCATATTGGATATGTGTGCCAAGTTTGGTCCAGATCCATCGTTGTTTGGGTTCACAGTGCTCTCTGTAAATAGGTGAACTACAACTTCTATAAATCAAGGTCAATTCCCCCCAAACCTCTCCAGCATTTTTTGTTGGTCATGGGGGTTCTGTATACTAAATGTGGTCCAGGTCCATTGTTGGTGGGAATCACAGTGCTCTGTCTTGATTCAGGGTGAACTACAACTTCTATCATGTTGAGTCAGTTCCCCAAACCTCTCCAGTATGTTCTGTTGCTGATCAATTCTGCTCTGTTTAAGCCATAGGAAAGAATAGGAAAGGGTTATGGGACAGGCAGTGGGTGGGATAATGCAAATTCCACATCAGTGGAGAGAGTAAGAAACAGTGGGATGTCTGTGGTAAAGGAAACACATAAAATCTAGGATGATATTGTCCCCATATGAAAGCCTTCATATGGGGGCAGTATGGTGTTTGTGGAGGACATTAGTAGGGCTCTTAGACATGTTCATGGTGCTCGCTATAACCTGCAATGTCACTGGAGGGAGGGGGGCATTCGTGTTTCCTGCATAGTGCGAGCTATAGGCTAACAGTGAAGGTATTGGTTTTATATGTTTTTTAAGGTTTAATGTATGTATTTTATAACTCTGTTTTAAATGTTGTTTTTAGTTGCATATTATTGAAGGCATCAAACTGCTACCTGGCTGTAAAGCTGCCTCTCCGGGTTGGAGAAAGGTGAGATAGAAATGTCATAAATAAATAAATAAATAAATAAATAAATAAATAAAGCTAGCTATTTGTGGAAGTGGGAGCTTGTCTGTGTAAGTGGACACCTCAGCCACATACACACACTTATATATTCACTTTTATTATGTGTATAAATAGATAATAGATAGATAAAACTTATATGCATAACCTGGAGGTAATCAATCTTATGCAATATTATAAATAATTGTGTGCTTGGAACAAAGTTTAGGTACATAGAACCATCAGAAAACAAAGGTGGCCACTCTCTCTGCCACCCTTGTAGGCAATTTGAAATTTTGGAGTATTGGAGAATCTCATATAAGGAATGTCCAACTTTTTTTACATCTTGTTTATCCTTTAGGTTCTTCTATGTGTTAAGTAATGTGACCAAACATCTGCTTATACCCCCATCACTACCTGCACCTGTGCTTAAAGTGGCTATATCTGAGTAAGTCATGCTGAGGCAGTTTTTTTCCTGTAAGCAGTTAAAACACAGCACTTAGAGAAAGTAGGATCAGCCAGTTTTCAACAATAAGGATACTGTGTCAAAATAATCAGACAACTGAACTGCACCTTTTCTTTCACATGCTGTTTTCCCCTTTCACTTGCAGTGGAAAAGCCAAAATGATTAACTGTGAAATGCTGGATGGGAAAAATATCATGGCCAATAAAACAGCAGACATTTTCTCAAAAAGCTGCCCTGCCCGGTAGATGTTCACTTTCAAAATGTAAAACCAGAAAGTGCTGGACGCCCACCAAAGGAAACGTAAGCAGGTGCTCCCACCTGTGCCAGTCTCCTTCCAGCCAAAACAGTCTCCCCACAGAGTTAAGTCTTCCAAAGGAAAGAAACCACACACCAAACGTATTCTGGGGGAGGATAATTTATATCAGTAGACCTGGCTGGGCTGTGCCTCCTTCATGCAACAACTGCGGACTTTCTCCCATTACCCTTAAAATACATTTGCAGGCTGAGTCCAAAAAATCCACCTCGATGTGCCAAAGAGGCACAGCTGTATGGGTGCTGTTGCTGCTCACGCTGCCGAGCACAGCACATTCCCGGAACTTGAGTTTGGGGAACGGCTGCAAGGAGGATCTGTTACACAGTTCTGGGCGTAATTCAATTAGACAAGATTCTCAGAGCCTCACTTTTCACTCTCTTTAGAAACTGACCACAGACACTCCCTGAGCACCTCTCCACACTGGCAAGACAATGGTGGTTCCAAGTAGTTCAACTTGTTGAAGCAAAAACCTTGGAACACCTTGAAATAGGTGCTGAAGGATTGGGTCAGAAAAACAAAACAAAATTAGAACTCCAAATGTAAGTCCAATTAAAATTCCACAATACTGTGCAAGTCTCTGAATTCTCCAGAAAGCTTCAGCAGGATTAGGTAGCAAAAAGGAAAACAAAATCAGGAGGGAAGAACAGAAGTCTGAAAACTGGTATAAATACTTAAGCTCATTAAGTATCAAGGTGGAAAGGTAGGCTTCTTAAAAAGCGAGGTCCCATCCCATGAAACTGGGCCGAGAAATTGTGTGTTTCCATTTCTGAAAGTAATTGAGGAGCTGAGATGTGCACCATATTTACCCTGGGCGATTCCTGGGGTAGAAAACTCTGATTGACCCATGGGCTTAAACATGCTGCTTAATGATGGGACTTCCCTGCTTCCTCTCCTCTCTCTCTTTCTCTCAATCACTCAGTTGTCAATAGAGCTAGGCATTAACAACATTGCAAAGAAGCTGTCTCGTACTAGAGATGGGCGATTTTCTAGTAAATTGCATGACATGTGCTGCTCCTTGCACTTATTTTTGATGCTCTCTAATAAGACTAAATTGCTGGACAAAAAGTCCAAAATTACTCCAAATACCTCCAAAATCCAATGACTTGCCCCTAGTGCTGGGTATTTTGTGGTATTGTGGGATGACTTAGTTATTATAGCTTTTCGCTTCTAATGGGATCATTTAAAAAATAAAATAAAGGCCTTGTAGCAATGGAGACATTTAAAGAAGTATCTATTTTAGACAACATGGGTCTTGAATTAGGGATACTGATACCTATTTAGTTGTTTATTTATTTGTTTACAGTATTTATATTCCGCCTTTCTCACCTTGAAGGGGACTCAAGGCGGATCACAATGCACACATACACAGCAAACATTCAATGCCTTTTTTAGACATAAAAGACAGACAGATAGATAGAGGTATTTTGGCATTTCTAACTTTGGCGCCTGGAGGTTATGCTCAATTCCGGCCACAGAGGGGTGCTATCCCTTCATCCACTATGACGCTGAGTCATTTTAATCGTATTTCTTCCTTGTTCTTTGGTGTCATAAATACCTCCCCACTTTAAGTGGTACCTAATTTCTCTACTCACAGCTCAGCTGTTTTCAAGCTGCTTTGGTGAACAGTAAGTTAGGCCAAACAGTTGGATGCTCAATCCGACCCGGGCTTCAAACTTGCCACCTTTTGGTCGACAGTGATCTATTGCTGCTGGTGATTAACAAGCTGTGCTACAGCCCAGCCCTTAACACCTAGAGTTAAGAACCATATTTACTCAAGAATAATGCACCATTGAATGTAATACGCATCTCAATTTTGAAGACGTGCATTACAAAAAAAAAAATGTTGAAGGTTATGCAAAGTGGTGGTGACCATGAAAAGACTGGTGGGAAGCCACTCTCCTTCATCAGGCCTTGTAGGAAGTTGGTAGTGGCCATGAAAAGACTAGTGGGAAGCCATGCCCTTCCGCCTGTGCCTTTTCATGGCCACCATCAACTTCCCACCAGCCCTTTCACAAGCCATTGCTACCTCTGTCTCCAGCTGAGATCGCTTGCACCACAGCATAGATGGGTTTTGGTGTGTGATTCTAACGCACCACTGAATCTCATGCACACTTCAATGTTATCCAAAAATGGTAAGCATTACACTCAAGAAAATATGGGTATTTCTATTGTAAAGGTAAATGTTTCCCTTGACATTAAGCCTAATTGTGTCCAACTCTGCGGGTGGTGCTCATCTCCATTTCTATGGTGTTGTCCATAGACACCTTCAAGGTCATGTGGCTAACATGACCGCATGGAGCACCGCTATCTTCCTGCTGAAGCGGTACCTATTGATCTACTCACATTTGCATATTTTCGAACTGCTAGGTTGGCAGAAGCTGGAGCTATTCTAGACGTTACTACACAAATATTAAAGATGAATGTTATAATACACAGCACCTATTGCAACAGGCACCTTGTACATGAATATACATATACACAAATTGAATATTAGATAGTACAACGGATTGTGTAACACATTTCTCCAGAGTGTAACATACCCATGAATATGCACCACTCACAAGGCTCCAGATAGGAAAGTTATTCTTGTAACGTTCTTGTAGCTTCTAAAACAGTTTTCTATATACATTACAGTAGAATTACTCTGCACCAGAGTATGAATGACTAATTGATTGTTTTTTTGTTCTTGTTTTGCTACTCACTTTGATGCAATATGAGATACAGTTATCTTCATAATGTTTACAACATCTGTGCCTCGGCCCATGTTTGCATCTGAAAAATAAAACAAATCTGCCTCAGTATTAACAACAGTTGATTGCTTTGTGCACACCAGTGGGGCAAATGTACCATGAATATGGTTTTCTCTTGCCACTGCGTTAACCATTTTTAGCATTATCACACTTCTTTACAACTCTCTCAGAATGTTTAAAAACATTAAAAAATGACTTTCATAAAATGCAAATAAAGTCAAGAGCTTTATCCTAGAAGAGTTGGTTTAATATAGCTAACAGATTGAGCTGCAAAGCAGACAAAATATTCAATTCTATCTCTGCTATGAAGTTGATATCCCAGATAGTGAAACTATACATTACATTCATCTTCCCATGTGAGTCTTGTATTTTAAAGATAAGAATTACATCTTGTTCATGTTATTTGTTCTTGGAAAAGGAAATTTCCCACTGTCGACCACAACACCCTTGGTTGGTCTCCCAAATGTTACCCTGAATAACAGACAAGTTTGGGTGTGTTCATTGGGAGACCTACGAAGGAGGTCCAGAGACCTGGACTACCACTGTACTACTGGTCTAACGATGCATTTACATTGTAGAATTACTGCAGTTTGATACCACTTTAACTTCCATGGCTCAATGCTATGGAATCATGGGAGATAATAATAATAATAAACTTTATTTATATTCCACTCTATCTCTCTGAGGGGAGTAAGGGTGGATTACAGAATACAGATTACAGATTACAGAATACATTTATAACAAACATTCAATGCTGTTAACAAAGACAGACAGTACATAGATAGAGGCAAGGCTTCCCTCTTTTTTATCTCTGTGTCTGGAGGCTTTGTTTGACTCGGCCATGGGGAGGTGCTATTGTTCAATTTTTCCACGCCGAGAAGCCTGTTGTCAATGGATGCCTTCCTGATCGAATTGTTGGCATGCCTTCAGGGGTGCCTTTTCTCTCCCCACCAAAGCAGTACCTATTTATTTACTCACATTGCTTGTTTTCGAACTACTAGGTATACAGAAGCTAGGCTGACGGCCGGAGCTCACAACAGCCCATGGCTTGAACTGCCAACCTTCAGGTTGGTAAGATTTTCTGTAGCTGGCAGTTTAACTCACTTTGCTAATGGCAGATGTAGTTTTGAAGGTTATTAGGTCTCTCTGCCAAAGAGTGCTGGTGCCTCACTAAATAAGAAACCCCAGGATTACATAGCATTGAACTGTGGGAGTTAAAGTGAGTTCAAACTGCAGTAATTCTACAGTGCGGATGCATTCTAAGGCAGCTTTCTATCTTCCTATGTCAGTGCTATCCTTTTGGAGGTACTGAATGGATGCAAAAAGAATACATGCTGACCGAGGAAGGAACACTCAGTGGGAGCAGATGAAATGGGTAGTAAAGGCAATCACTGCAGTAGCTCCTCTTTCTTTAAATTCAGTGATTTGGTGCAAATGGGGAAAAATAAGAAGTACCTTGGAAAATTAAAAATAATATTCTCCCTCTAACATCACAGCCCTGGCCATAGACTATAAAGTACCAGCAGTGGGAAAGGAGTATGTTACACTTTACAGAAATGCTTAATCCTAGCTTCATTTCGGCCATGGGGACTCTTTTTCTTTGGAAGTCTAAACAGCGGCTGGATGGCCATTTCTCAGGGGTGCTTTAGCTATGTATGCCTATAAGGTAGGAGGTTGAACTAGATGGTCCTAGCAGTCCCTTCTATCTCTATGGTTCTAGTTCTACAATTTCTTTTCACGAAAATGTCAGCTGTTGACCAACATGAGCTCTACAGTGTGACTTGAGGTGTGGCAGGCGCTGATTATATGTTCTTCTTGCTAAGTTTAATAGAAAGCCTATACAGCTCACCAGCATTTGAATTCTTCACAACTCATAAGACTTTACTTTTTATGAACATTTCAACTGTTAGTGTTCAAATCTTACTGTCATGGAAACTCCAGAAGGTCTCATGGTGGACAAAGAATTTGAAAAAGATAAATACTTTTGGTAGGGCTGTCCAGTTGCTAGACATATCAAGTGGAATTAACTGCAAATCAATTTGATACTGGTTCTAGAAATTAGATTTTCTTGTAGTCAAATATTTGAGGTCTGGGCACAAAATAACATTACTCAATCTTTATATTGTGCCAAATATTTGTTGGAAGCTTTGAATTATGCGCTGCAAAAGCATATCAGTCATAAATCATCCATGAGGTCAGTTTGTGTAGCAAAAACTGTAATGAGGATGTGATCAAGTTACAGACATTTAGACTTAGTTATATCTGAAAGGAAACATATGGGATGGAAACTTGATAGAGGATTAGGATTAAGAACTCAATGGTTTTTCAGGCATATACGAGTGGGACGTTAGAAATACCAAAGGAAGTTTGTTCCTCTTATTTGTTGATTATTCAAGCCTTTTCAAGAAAGCCCTGTGGGGAGCGGTTTCATTGCTGAGGCTATTGACTGGGTACTGATAATTTTGTCTGTTCTTGGGTTGAATCAGAATGCAGTCTTGTTTGTTTGATGCCTTTCCTAGCACTTGGATCTTTGGTAGTGCAAAACAGGTAGGGTTGAAAATACAATTAATCATTTGAAACACAATTACATGTATTATTTTTAATTAAAAATTCTACTAAATAAGAACAATTTGAAAACTATTGAAAAGCACATCAGGTAAATACAAGAAGCACAGGTAGGGGGACTTAAAAGCACTTTTCTCAGCAACTAGCTTGCTGTCCAAAGCCTGTCAACCTGAACCGAAAAGGTCTTTGCCTTCTAGTGGAAATAGAAGAATAAGGGTGCCAAATTAAACCAAGTTTGAATCTCTAGGTTCTTCAGTCAACTTCTAGAGGTCAACCACAGAGTTGCACTGGAGGACCCAAGAGATTCTTAGAGTACATTTTAATCAAATTCCACAACCTGGGAAAAATTACCAAGAAATCTCTCTCTTGTGCCCTTACTAAGCAAGTTTAAGAGAAGGGCTACATTATGTGAGGAGATGTGGTTCATAGGGCTTTACAGTTCATAAACAGCATTTTTATTTGTGTCTAGTTATGGACTTATACTCAATGTCATTATGTTCTCCCTATGTGGCTAAAACATTCTGGATCCACTCAGGATCCCAAAGACTTTACGAAGGTAGTCCATGAACAGTGTGTTCCTTTCATCCAAATGCGACATAACCTCCTCATCCTGTGCTAAACCAGCCATATATAAGAACAAGATACTCAGATGGAAACTTGTGGAAATTGAGCTCCTGGCCTCTCTTATTCCTTGCAGTAAGAACATGGAAAGCTGCTCCTTGTAGTCTTGATATCAGATATTAGACTGGACTGAGGATTCAGTCGGTAAATTTAATCCCTTTGTCATTCTGGGAATAGCACAAGACGTGTTCTTCACTCCACTTTCAAATAATTATTATGACTAGCCAGAGAGCATTGTGTTGCAGCTATTGCTTCAAGTGATACAGGAGGCCACACTGGACACGTCAGACTTTTAAGTCTCATTAAAGTAACTTGCTATTGCTGTACATCATTGTTTTGTCTAGACTGACTTCAGCTTCAGGAACCATAGCCACCTGTTAATAAGCTTGATTACTTTTTTTGAAACTGATGGCTCTCTATTCCACTTCCTGATTCTAAATTCACGCAATCCCTGGGGTCAATAACTAACAGGATTGACTGAGCTCGAATTAAAGATTAATCCAGAGGAGACAGGAGTTGTCCAGTCAGTCCATAGGTTGAACAGGGAATAGAGGTTCAACTCATGGTTGAGGTTATACTCCACTTAAAAAACCAAGTTCATACTTTGGCTATGCTCCTGGTTTTGGCCATGAATCTAGTAGATGCCAGGCTTCAGAAGTGCCCCGGAGAATGCTCACATAGCTAATGTCAGGTGTGCCAACTTACACATTCCTAGAAATGCTTGTTTGCCTGTAGGGAAAGTTTATTTATTTAAAACATTCATTGCCTTCTCTCCAAACATTCAGAGTGGTGTTTACAATTTTAAAACACCACAATAATAATTTTTTAAAACTCTGCAAACAATAATAAAAAGATCTCAAACAATAACACCACTAGTAATATTTTTATAGTATGAACTCTTGGAAGCTATCCCAGAAATAGCAACAAATGGCTCATTTGAATGTGTTGTTTCTTATGTGCAATGCTTCTTAATGTACTGTTTCCTTTTCTCCTTTTTTCTCTGGTTGGCATAAAAGGATTAATATGAAATATATTTCATTACAGATAGCATGTACAATCATTCCTCCACATTTGCTGGAGTTAGAAAGACAGGATATTTGTGAGAGTGGGAAAATGACAAATTAAAAACCACTAATTTTTTAACCTAAGAGAAGACCTCTATAAGAATCTCTTAGTCCTCCAGCACAGCTCTATGGGTTAACTTCTCAAAACAGACCATGAAATTGCATTGGAGGACCAAGAGATTCTTCGAGAAAATTTTAATCAAATTTGTAAAAGTCAAACTTGCTAACTTTTCAGCTATAGATGGCAAATCTGCAATTTAGTATTTTTTCCTGTTCTTCTTTTTGATATAATAGTAAACTGATGCACTATGGATATTTTCCAGTTGGACTGTATGCAAACAAACATATTAAATAAATAAACAGATGAAAGTAAGTAAGACTAAAAGGTCCCAACAAAATAGAATTTACACTCACACTTTGTCTACAAATTTCTTTGTTACTGCAATTATGTTCATTCGCTGTATGATTTCTTCATGGTGTTTTCTTTTTCTCTCTCTTCTTAGAAACACTGTTTCTGGTGCAAATGAATGCGTGGGTATTTCTTCTTTACCTACAATGAACCTGGAAGGAAGCAAAACATTTAACAACTACTTCATTATTTCTTTCGCTTTATATAATATAGTGCAGCTGCCTTTTGATATGCAATAAAATAAAATCCCTAAGGTGAGGAAATTAAGAATATTAGAATAGTATCCAAGCAATTCATACTTGTGCCATTCTGAAATTTTATGGCATTCTTTACAGTATAAAATGCTATTTGTCACTTTGAGATGTCAATGTCTCACTAATAAATAGAAGAACTGGAAATAACTGTATATGTACAAAAAATCAAGTGCTTTCTAGAGTTGTGTGCAGAATTTGTTCCTATAGTTTCTACCATTTCTTTCATGTCTTTCGTTTCTTTGGGAGCACGAAATGGGAAGCTCTTCCCCACATGAAAATCTGCTCACCACAAAAGCCTGCTTTCATCTGCAGTCAAACTTGCCCTCTTGCCTTGGAAAGAGAGTGTGTGTAAGGCGGGTTTGCAGGCAGGCCCGGAGCATGCCTGCAGTTGAGCACTTTTTACTCTAGAGTAAGAGGCGCTGGCAAGTGTGTGAGCTTCCCGGGCTGCCTGCACGTCACACCACACATGCCCTCTCTTTTCAAGGAGAGTGCATGTGTGGCATGGCATGCAGGTAGGCCCGGAAAGTGTGCACGCCTGCCAGTGCCTGCAGCCAAGCACCTCTTACTCTAGAGTAGAAACAGCAGGTACCAGGTAAGAATAAAGGAAGCCTCCTTAAAGCATGTGCTCAGAAGGGGAGGCAGTGTATGAAAAGCCCCCCCCCCCCCGGTAATGGCCCAATTTTCGGGGCCCCAAACCAAAAACAAACATCTACCCTCCCAATTTTGGGAGGCTCCTACAAAACAAATCAGGGGGCCCTCACAAAAGCCAGGATATGAATCGGGGCAAGGTTTACCTTTAAAGCACAACCCTAGTGATTTCTGTCCTTCTGAGGGGGTCATATTAATTTCAAAATATCAACATAAGGTACTTGCAATTTCATAATGCAGTAGACAAGAGAAAAAACAACCGTCCCAAATATGATTATGTAAATATAACTACTTAAAAAGTGGAACCTTCTCATCTAGATTCCAAATCAGGATGGGTTACCATCTACTATAGTAATAAATTTTAGATAAAGGAGCAAAATATATTGTTGAAATGAGCAAAAGGTTGTGAGTCATAACTTTGGAAGAGACCTTAATATTTGTTTCTTGTCTCTCATTTGATATATTTTCAATTCCCACATTTCACTCAATTTGGGCTATTCAGTTGGATTAGAAAGAGATGCTCCTTGTCACTTACTTCAGTGCTGAGAATGTAAAACCTTTCAAGCCGTCCTTGCATCTGAAATATAAACCAAACATTTGGGGTGTTGTTAATATGGTGGCATCCAAGCTCAAAGAGCACTCCCACAACAGAGGCAACATACAACACTGGAGCTTTGCCATTTTTCTCTTTTAAAAAAAAAAAATCAGCAATTTGGTTGGGGATCAGAGAAATACATCTATGCCAGCAATTATCTGGTTGCTGTTTGTCTTTGCCTCTTTTATTAAACATGGATAACACAAACTGAACTACGCAAAAATCCCTTCCAGATGACAGAAAAAGAGCTGAAGCAAGTTTTAAACAAAATGAATGCCCGGAGCCTTATGATGGAAAATGCTGCTTTGGTTTCTCACTATGAAACTTGCCCCCCAAAAATCTACTATTCTGCCAGCAGATGTCCCTAATCGGCAATAATTGAAAAATCCATTTGTGCCAAAGAGAAACCAAAAACAGTAAATTTGCCACTTAGATGGCTAGTTGACAGACGATTGGCCAAACAGTAAAACAGCTCATAGGATATTTTATGTTTTTAGTATACTTGAGTATACTTTTATACTCCAATCCAAAAAAACTGAGTTGTCTTATCCATGGGTCAATGTAAGAACTCTCTTTCTCTCCCTCTCTGTATATCATCCCCTTTTCCAAACAGACGGGCCAAAGGCAAGAGCTTAGTCCATTCTAGAATAACCATAACAACAACAACAACAACAACAACAACAACAACAACAACAACAACATATTTATACCCCGCCCTATCTCCCCATGGGGACTCAGGACAGTTTCCAACAAAATGGCAAACATTTAATGCCGAAACAGACAATGAAAAATCAAACCAAAGCAGTGGATAATTGAACTTAAATAAACATAATATAACCCATCACACAAAATTTCCACAGGCTGAAGAAGGTTTGTAATATCTAGGTGAGGATATATATATACATACAAAGGTGTACTAGTCTTCCTCCTCTCCATATGCTAAGATGCATAAATAAGTTTTTTAAAGCTTTTTAAAGGAGAGGAGGGTGAGGGTCATTTTTATTTCTTTAGGGAGGGAGTTCCAGAGGAGGGGGGCAACCACAGAGAAGGTCTCCTCTCTTGTCCCCATCAACCATACTTGAGATGGGAGCGGGACCAAGAGGAGGGCCTCCCCTGTCGACCGCAATGCTTGAGTTGGTTTGTACACAGAGATGTGGTTTTTCACATTTGCATGTTTTCAAAGGGCAAAGGGTTGGCAGAAGCTAGGGCTATCAGCAGGGTCTCACCCCGACCAGCGGCTTCGAACTGCCAACCTTTAGGTCAGCAGATTCAACAGTTCAATGGTTTAACCTGTTGTACCACCACAGCCCCTTACCTTAACTCTTTTCTTTCAAAAGACACCTTTTCCTTTTCCGAGTGGTAAAAGCAAAAGCTTAGCCTTCGGTCATCCTGAGAGACCCTTCAAGAAGCGCAAACTACCTCTGGTCTCTCTGCCATGACACCACTTCTGGGTGTTTTGAATGCCTGGGTGAGGAAATACTGACCACCAGAGTCTGCTGAAGCGGAATTGGTGCTTTCCCTTCTCCACAGAATAACCCTCAACTCATCTATGGTTATATCAAAGTCCCCACTTTTGCCACCAGAATTTGCCCTCAACTTTTTTTTTTGGTCGTATCAGAAGCGACTTGAGAAACTGCAAGTTGTTTCTGGTGTGAGAGAATTGGCCATCTGCAAGGACGTTGCTCAGGGGACGCCTGGATGATTTGATGTTTTATCATCCTTGTGGGAGACTTCTCTGATGTCCCTGCATGAGGAGCTGGAGCTGATAGAGGGAGCTCATCCGCCTCTCCCTGGATTCAAACCTACGACCTGTCAGTCTTCAGTCCCGCCGGCACAGGGGTTTAACCCACTGCGCCACCGGGGGCTCCTGCCCTCAACTTATACTTGAGGTTGACTTATATATAAGTATATACAGCATTTTGGTGGTAAGCAAATTGTAACACAACAAAATTTCGAAAATATTTTATTAGTGCAATAAGTCCTGGTTTCTAGTAACTTTCATAATTTTCTTTTAGGGGCATTTTTATAGGTCTTTTGGCAGGAAATCAAAAAGCAATTTTCCAAAGTCTGCATACAAATACATGTTTTTACAAAGTGTATAAACCCCTTTTGGTGGTGGAAGTGACAACAAGCAATCTGTAAATGCAGCTGTATGCACAATGCATTCATTCACTGAACTGAACAAGCTTCAGTCGAAACAGTTATTTTCTAGTTATTTGTAGTCATTTCGTGCATGGTTGTAACTGTGTGTGTGTGTGTGTGTTGTGACCCTTATCCAGACAACCTTAGCTGGACAAGGGTCATGAGAGTTCTTTTAATGAAGCTTGAGGAAGCGAGCAGACTCTCTGCTATAAAGTGTAGTATGATCCACAGCTCTCATAATTAATGGAATAAGCATACAGGATTTGTGAAAAGAGCCATCAAAATCACCCTGGATAGCTAACTTGTGTTCCGGGATAGTGACACGCCAATTGGCGATTGCTTCAATCCTAAAAACAATGAAGTACTTATTGAAGAAGATCCTGGAAATCAATCACACTGGATCCTGAGGAATCAAGTTGCATATTCACACAAAACGGCATAGGCTTTCACTGCATAGGCTTTAACTGCAACAGACCTCACCTCTGAGGATGCTTGCCATAGATGCAGGCGAAACGTCAGGAGAAATGCCTCTAGAACATGGCCATATAGCCCGAAAAAACCCACAAGAACTTAGTGATTCCAGCCATGAAAGCCTTTGACAATACATTTAACTGCATAATTTAAGGAAAAAATACATTTTTATGCAAATCGTGTGTCTGAGAGTCTCCAACCTCACTGTCAAGTTTTATTTTATTCATGTTGGAGCATGTAAAAATCAGTTGGTGTATGTTGACTAAAAAATGCAAAGCATAAAGCTGATTGGTTGGGCCATGCCAAAGAAGCTAGCTGAGCCTGGGAATTTTGGCAACAGTTACATTTCCAGGCTTTAGTTGTCCAGGAGCTTGCAGAGACAGATTTGCTTCTGAGCTGCTGGGAGAAGGTCCTTCACATGGACACCTAAGGACATTTTAAATCTCTCTCGAAGGACACTGTGTGAGTCAATGCAACTGTTCACAAGTTTGTATATATGTTGCTCTGCATTTCAAAGAATAACATTTCTTGTTCTCTATTGATCATCTGTGTGGCATATCTTTTCTCTGGCAAGGCAGTGTGTGGACTGGTCAAACGTGAACTACGCATGATTTTCATTTCATCGCAATCCAGACATATTTCTATGGAAAGTAGCATTTCTTTCAGCCCTGTGCATTTGTGATAGAAATAGAAGGCATTTGGGATGCAATAGTATGAAGGTTTTGGTCTTGTGAAAACATCATTAAACTAAGCAAATATAAACCTCTCAAAGAAATAACATTGAGAATTGTATTTCTATAAAGAATGTACACATTTCTAATAAAGAACAGCCAGCTTTCTCAAACAACAACTGGCAGGATTTTAAAAAGAAAGCTATGACAGTGAGCTGATTTGACGATAGTTCCCATTTGTTGTGTATACATGTGTTGTTCTCACAACATGTTGCTATCAACTTCTAAATAGTTGTTCACTTGTATCACAGTTTTGCACCCTCAGAAAGATCCAGCAGCTGTTTGCTGCTATCACCATCACACCTTAAGTCATCAGACTATTTTGGCATCTGATATGATCACTGTGTATTTTCTTCTGCAGCTGCCTACAAATAAAACCCTGATGCTTCAAGAAACATACAAATTAAGAAACCGTACTTGGAGAAGGAAGGAGAAGAATTATGGCTTTGCTTGGCAGTATTCTGAATAATAAGGGTAATGGTTTTGGCTCAGTTTAAAATGACAAAGCTTACCTATGGCCATCTTTCATTTGAAATCATATGGACATTCCATTCTTTCACACACAACATTCTCTGACCTGTTAGTAATCTCTGCTGGACTATTAAAAAGGGAAATTACAAATCTGCTGAATTTGCAAGACCTCACCGCTACCATTAATCATAGAGGGTTCATTTACAAGGTTGCAGCAAATCGAAGTTGGCCAGCAAGAATACCAGGCAGTGCCTTTTTAATAAAATAAAACAACTGCCAGGCACTACAGCTCTTGTGGGTTTTTTTTTTTTTTTGCAATTAAAGCTATAGCATCAAAAGAGTTTTGCATTGTCTCTGCTCATGAGTCAGATATATCTACTACAAATACCTAACAAACAGCCCAGTTGATTGATTGCCTGAATCATGCTGAGATTCACAAGCAAATCCATCCAGAAAAGGGAGCAAGTTTACAGTTGAATTGCAAAGGGAAAAGACTAGGTCTTGGGCTCCCTGAGTGCAATGAAGCTACAGTATATTCTATGAGTATCTGGCCCAATTAATATTAGAAAAGTAGAAGGGGGTGCTAGAGTTGTAGAGTGCTAAGAAATCTGATGGTCATCAAGTGCTTGCACTAAAAGTAGTATCATAAGTAAAGATAAAGTTTTCCCCTGACATTAAGTCTAGTCGTGTCCGACTTTGGGGGGTGGTGCTCATCTCTATTTCTAAGCCAAAGAGTAGGCATTGTCTGTAGACACCTCCAAGATTATATAGCCAGAATGACTGCATGGAGTACCGTTACCTTCCCGCAGGAGCGGTACCTACTTATCTACTCACATTTGCATGTTTTCAAACTGCTAGGTTGGCAGAAGCTGGGCCTAACAGTGGGAGCTAACCCTGTTCGTCAAATTCAAACCACTGACTTTTTGGTAAGCAAGTTCAGCAGCTCATTGGTTTAACCTGCTGCACCACCAGGGGGGCTTAAAAATAAAGGTTTCCCCTTGACATTAAGTCTAGTCGTGTCCGACTCTGTGGATGGTGCTCATCTCTATTTTTAAACCAAAGAGTCGGTGTTGTCTGTAGACACCTCCAAGGTAATGTGGCTGGCACGAATGCATGGCGCACCTTTACCTTCCCGCCAGAGCAGTACTTATTGATTTACTCACATTC